TGATTTTTAAATCATTAATAAAATATTTTAAATTGAGAGGAAGTAAATAAAAAGACTCAAAGTTCTATTTTCAGGTTTGATACCAATCCACATTTTTAACACATTAAGTTGTATTTTCAGTAATACATCACCCCCTCATATTCTGTGTGTTTATATTTGGCAAATTTATCAGGTTACAGTTGACTTCTAGTCCCACGCTGCTTCTGTTGGAAAATACAAAGCCTTCTAAGTGGAAATGTTTTATCTCCTTTGAATCCTATGTTAACTACGTCTGCTGGAAGTTAATTCTGCACTGCAATAGCACTGAATTAAAATGATCTTTTGACAAGACTTTTGTTTACTTAGACACTAAAGTGAACTAGAAGACAGCTTGTAATAGAATGCTGCTTTTTTATAGTATTCTATAAATAAAATACTATAAAAGTGAGGAATTTAGTTGATTAATTTTTTTTGTTGTTGCAGATTCCAAGAAGGATTAAAAGCCATGTAGAAGACTATCTCTCACATTCCCAATTGAAACAGGAGTGTTATTATTCAGAAGTGTTTTCCATTTAGGGAAAACCAAAAATCCTCTAAGTTCAGTCAGTGTGTTTAGAATTTCGTTAAGCTTGAAGTTATGATTCTACTATAATCATGTGTCCTTTTTCTCTTTAGGATAATGAAGAAAAGTAACAGAAAAACAACATTTTTTTTTTTCTTAGAGACATGATAGAGATTTAAACATTTTAGGTTTTTTAAGATTTTTGGCCAATTTGTTGGTGCAACACATGAAGAAAAGTGTTCAGGTTGAAGATATTCTGAAATCAAGATATTCCTGCAGAGCTTAGTAAGTGCAAATCAAATGTTGACTAAAAGGTGTTTGGATCATTGAGAAACAAAAGAAGAATTAAAATAATAAGTATATAGTAGTCATTAATGAGGAGATATATCTTTGTGTGTGTGTGTGAGAGAGAGAGACAGAGAGAGAGAGAGAGACAGAGAGAGAGAGTGTCGGAGTTTAGCTCCTGTTGCCTAGGCTGGAGTGCAATGGTGCAATCTCGGCTCACTGCAACCTCCACCTCCCAGGTTCAAATGATTCTCCTGCCTCAGCCTCCGGAGTAGCTGGGATTACAGGCACCCACCACCATGCCTAGCTAATTTTTTGTATTTTTAGTAGATAAGGGGTTTCACCATGTTGGCCAGGCTAGTCTTGAACTCCTGACGTCAGGTGATCAGCCCGCCTCAGCCTCCCAAAGTGCTAGGATTACAGGCATGAGCCACTGCACCCAGCCTGATATATATCTCAGTACATACATCCCGTATGGGCAAATTAAACTCATCACTTCCCCCCTATATATCTGCTTCTTCACTCATCTAAGCGTCTATGCTGACGTCACTCTTTGTCCTGATGCCCTTCACTACCTGTGAGTCAGTCTCTGCTGGATGTGCCAATCTACCCCATCCTTGCTGTGCCTTCAATATAGACATTTTCTCCTAGTTGCTCTGTCAGAATAAACTTATGAAAGCCAATTCTACTGGTACCCTAATAGATAAATATCTGTGGTTAAGCAGCAAGACCTGAGAAAATTCTTGAGTGGCAAAAATCAGATTATTCTGTGAAATCTGCTAAGAGGGAGAGAGAGTATCCCTTCCAACTCATCCTGTATAAAATACTCTTGCATTTAAACCTAGCTCAGATCTCTCTTCTGTGGATTTTCTGGGCCCCTTGAGTCCAAAGTTATGTTTTTCTATTCTGTGAGGCCTAACAATTTGTTTGCACCACAACTGAAGCACCTATTGTATTTGCCTTGATTGGTACACTTATAATACTCATGAGATGATAAGCTCTGAGGAGAGATCTTTTAATATTTTGTCCCTTCCATGTATAATATTATTTTTGTAATTTATTAAGCATTAAATGTATTTTGATGAAATGGAATTGAAGCAACTTCTGTATACTCTATCTTTTCATCTGTGAACTATGGTGGGCTCTATGTCTAAAGTCCCTCTTATCCATAGGATTCTAGGATTCTGTGGTATGAACCTTCCTCATTATTAGTATAGCCTGTAAGTATATTTCTAACTGGATTGTGTCTAATTCTAAAAGAATGAGTAGGTCCATTCTGCTGTGTCTGGGTCATTTGTGAATTTACTGGCTAACCTCCTCCATTCCTCTATCTCCTCCATTCTCTTAATCCCTTGGTCTTTCCACCACATTGTCCCTCCAGCTTTGTACAGGCTTTCAATTTCAGGTCACACTCTCCTCCCTCCTCCTGAGTCAGGGGTTCATGGATGTATCAAATCCTTATTCACTTGGCATCATCCTGGCATGACCTTCCTTTGCTCTGTCCCTTTCTGCCTTCTTCATCCTGGCCCACTTGTAACCTCTAAATTCACTGACCTCACAGACACTTCTGCATGATGAGAAAGCCCATTCTATGCTCACCATCTTTTTACTATAAATAGTTGGGGAGTGCAGGCTTGTGGGCTTGATGGGGGCCTTTTCAACTTCAGGGAATTCAACATCTGCTTTTCATGGGGTCCACGTTTTCCAAGGATGAGTTGTTGTGCTAGGCTCCATGAGGAATGGAGATAAAACCCGACACATGGATCTTATCCTGAAGAAACTTATAATTTAATTGAGGAAAACCTGACATAAACAGAGACACATTTAAATAAAAGCAGCCAGCTAGTAGGCATCTGATAAACTGATAAGGGTAAACAAAAAGAAACAGAGATAGGAAAGTTGTTTAGTGCTAACTTTTTAGCTTATGTGTGAAATATATCAGTTTAATGTTCTCACCTTCATTTTTTAGTGCTTTGAAGAAAGGCTTACATTCAGTTAGCCGCTCATGCAAAAACCCTCTAAGAGCAGTGAAGTGTACAGGGTTTGAAGGCAAGGATTGTACCCTTATAAAAGGTTCTTTTTTTTTTTTTTTTTTTTTTTTTGAGACTGTGTTTCTCTCTTGTTGCCCAGGCTGGAGTGCAGTGGTGCAATCTTGGCCCATTGCAACCTCCACCTCTCAAGTTCAAATGATTCTCCTGCCTCAGCCTCTTGAGTAGCTGGGATTACAGGCTTGCACCACCATGCCCACCTAATTTTTTATTTTATTTTTTTCTGGACAGAATTTTGCTATTGCCATCCAGGCTGGAGTGCAGTGGCACAATCTTGGCACTATAAAGTCACCACAGATGAGGAATTAGTGAATACTGAATCACTGCTCCTAGGAAGATAGAGGGTAAGTTAGTTTCCTGCAAGGCTCTGCTCACATTATACCAACTGATCAATATGTAATCTTGGGGTTTTGTGTGTTTCTGTTAAAGATGCATAATTTACGCCTGGGCAACATAGTCAGACCCTGTCTCTACAAAAAATTAACATGAAAAAATTAGCATGATGTGAGGTGGTGTGCACCTGTAGTCCCAGCTACTTAGGAGGCTGAGGCAGGAGGATTACTTGAGCCCAGGAGTTTCAAGGCTGCAGTGAGCTGCGATCATACCGCTGCATTCTAACCTGGGTGACAGAGTGAGACCCTGTCTCCAAAAAAAAATACATACACCAGTATACATTGTTTATTCATTAACTTTGAACTCATGGCCCATAGCAGTATAACTCATGTTTGAATGAAGCTTATATAGTACATGAATGTTCTCCATAAAGCCCATCACAACCTTCTTGTGCTTAGAAACATGGGGTAACACCTCAGCACTACCATTTCAAACAGTAAAATTACCTACAGGAAGCACAAAAATGTGATAGCATGGTTCTGCACAGACTTTCAAAAGGGCACTTGTTTACAGTCTGCGAGCTCGAATATGAAAGCAGAGCATCGTCTTGTTTGACTCAGATGGTAGCACGAGCATGGACAGGTCCCATTTTCCCTGGTGTACACATCTGCAAATGGTTCCTAAAGCACAGTGGGTATTAGTTTTGGGGTTACAAATAAAGTTTAGCAAGTAGGCAAATTCATCAGTACAGAATCTGTGAATAACTGGAATCAATTATGTGCTGTTATGGACTGAATTGTGCTCCCATAAAATTCATATGCTGAACTCCCTAACCCCCAGTATCTCAGAGTGTGACTGTTTATGGAGATAGGGTCTGGAAGGAGAACATTAAGTTAAAATGAGGCTATTAGGGTGGACCCTAGTTCAATCTGACTAATGTCCTTGTAAGAAGAGGAGATGCAGAAACACAGATACTACGAATACACCAGCACAGAGAAAATGTCCTGTGAGTCCCCAGCAAGAAGACAGCTGTCTGCAAGCCAAGGGGAGAGGCTTCAGAAGAAACCAACCCTACCCCGACCTCAGACTTCCAACTTCCAGAGCTGTAAGGAAATACATTTCTGTTGTTTAAGGCACCTAGTCTGCAGTATTTTCTTACGGCAGCCCTAAGCAGACTAATACAATAGGTGCAGGCCACTCTCAACACATTTTCAAGGCTGATGGACAATGTTGTATGTTTATTTTATTTGACTTCTCAGTGGTATTTGACAGTCGACTGACTTTTTTCATACTAAAATTCTCTGTTTTCCTGGCTATCATTTTCATCTAGTTTTCCTCCTACAACATTAGCTATTCTGTTCTATTTTTTATTTATGGGGACTCATTTTTTAGGAATTTTCTTTTTACTAAAATGTAACATATTATTATAAGAATATTTATAAAATACAGAACTCAATACAATGGAAAAAATAAAAATTATCTTTAATCCTAATACCAGGAATAATATACCTCTTCTATAGCAGCCTCTTTATTCACCAGGCTCATAAAGAGTGCTGTCTCCAAAGGAACTAAGTTGATCTCTCTGCTCTTTGAATTATGTGCAATGAAACTCCTTACCGTTGTTCACCAGCTCGACTAGATCTGCCACCTCTCTGACTTGACAGCAGCACTTGACCCCTTGGTATCCACACCACAGCCACCCCAGCAGGTCCTTCCTACTGACTGTTCTCCCTGAAGCCCTCTCCACCCAAAGCAGCCACCCCAGGCAGTGCCACGGCTGACTCTTCCAGGGGTCTCAGCATCTCTTCCTTTAGCCAGATCCCTCTTATTCCATACTAAAATTTCCCCCTTTCTGTTCATTGAAGACTATTCAAAGTTATATTTAACATTTACCTATTTATTTACTATATAGCATTTACCTCTCTTCTTCCTCTAGAATATTAGCTTCATAAAAAAGAAAAATGTTTAAAATAATGGAACTTCCAAGCCCTCTTTGGTGACTGACACTAAGGTCTTCCCCTCAAATTCCTTCAGCTGTTGGACACAGTATTCACCAATGGGCTCGATCATATAGATCACTTCTAAGCCATGTTTCCGAAGACTTTCCACAAAGGCTGAGTTAGCTACCTGGTCCTTGGTCTCACCTGTGATATAATAGATATGTTTCTGGTTTTCCTTCATTCTGGTGCAGCAGTCCTTGAGAGAACCCATCTCATCACCAGAGGCAGATGTGTAGTAACTTAATAGCTCTGAAAGCTTCTTCTGATTTTGAGAGTCTTCATGTATTCCAAGCTTTATGTTTTTAGAGAACTGCTCATAGAACTTCTTGTAGTTCTCTTTATCTTCTGCCAGTTCAGCAAAGAGTTATAAGCATTTTTTTGACCAAATTCTTCCTGATAACTTTCAAAATTTTGCTTTGTTGCAGCATCTCATGGGAAATATTTGGAGGAAGATCCTCCAGGTCTACCACCCTTCTAATGAAGTTCAGATATTCAGGGATTAGCTCCTCACAGTTATCCATGATGAAAACATACAATTTGATGTTGTTCTTTTTCTTTTTGTTTTCAAACAGGCCAAAAGGAGCACGTTGTGGGACAAATAGAAGGACTCTGAATTCCAACTGTCCTTCAACTGAAAGACGCTTCACTGCCAAGTGATCTTCCCAGTCATTGGTCAAGCTCTTGTAGAATTCTCCGTACTCCTCATTAGTAATATCATTGGGATTTCTGGTCCAGATGGTCTTTGTTTTGTTGAGTTCTTGATCCATGTACTTTTCCTTAATCTTCCTCTTCTTCTTCTTGTCACCATCCTTCTTTTCTTCTTCTTCCTCATCAGAACCAACATCTTCAATTTCAGGTTTGTCTTCAGACTCTTTCTCTTCTTTTTCTATTTCTGCTTCTTTGTGTTCCTTTTCTTCAGCCTCATCATCGCTGACTTCTTTATCACATTCCTTCTCCACAAAAAGAGTAATGGGATATCCACTAAACTGAGAATGTTTCTTCACAATCTCCTTTATTCTTCATTCCTCCAAGTACTCAGTTTGGTCTTCCTTCTGGTGTAGGATAACCTTTGTTCCACAACCCATAGGTTCACCCGTGTCTGTCCTCACTGTGAATGATCATTCACACTGCTGAGGACTCCCAGGCATACTGCTCATCATCATTATGTTTGGTGATCACAGTTACTTTCTCAGCAACCAAATAAGCAAAATAAAAACCAACACAGAACTGGACAATCATAGAGATATCTGCACCAGCCTGCAAAGTTTCTATGAACGCTTTGGTCCCAGACTTGGTGACAGTACCAAGGTTATTGATCAAGTCAGCCTTGGTCATTCCAATTCCAGTATCCACAATAGTGAGAGTTCGATCTTGTTTGTTTGGTACAGGGTTAATATGCAGCTCTTTCCCAGAGTCTCATTTACTGGGATCCATCAAGCTTTCATACCAGAGTTTGTCCAATGCATCTGATGAATTTGAAATGAACTATCTCAGAAAGATCTCTTTGTTCGAGTAGAAAGTATTGATGATCAGTGACATCAACTGGGCAATTTCTGCCTGAAAGGCGAACATCTCAACCTCCTCCTCCTCCATCGGTTGGTCTTGGGTCTGGGTTTCCTCAGGCATCTTGGCTAAGAGACAGCACAGGGTCCACAATACAGCAGCACCAGGATGCCAAAGATGAAGAAAAGAAAAAGAAACAGGAAGAGGAAAAAAAACAAAGTTTGAGAACCTCTGAAAAATCATGAAAGACATATTGGAGAAAAAAGTTGAAAAGGTGGTTGTGTCAAACTGATTGGTGTTGTCTCCATGCTGTATTGTCATAAGCACATATGGCTGGACAGCAAACATGGAGAGAATCATGAAAACTCAAGCCCTAAGAGACAACTCAACAATGGGTTACATGGCAGCAAAGAAACACCTGGAGATAAACCCTGACCATTCCATTATTGAGACCTTAAGGCAAAAGGCAGAGTCTGATTAAGAATGACAAGTCTGTGAAGGATCTGGTCATCTTGTTTTATGAAACTATGCTCCTGTCTTCTGGCTTCGGTCTGGAAGATCATCAGACACATGCTAACAGGATCTATGGGATGATCAAACTTGGTCTGGGTATTGGTGAAGATGACCTACTGCTGATGACACCAGTGCAGCTGTAACTGAAGAAATGCCGCCCCTCGAATGAGATGACGACACATCACACATGGAAGAAGTAGATTAACCTCCGGCTGAGGGATTACTTACCTGTTCAACACCCTATAATTCCTCTGATAATATATTTTCAAGGATGTTTTCCTTTATTTTTGTTAATATTAAAAAGTCTGTATGGCATGACAACAACTATTTTAAGGGGAAGATAAGATTTCTGTCTACTTCTAAGTGATGCTGTGATGCCTTAGGCACTAAAGCAGAGCTAGTAATGCTCTTTTAGTTTCACATTGGTTTATTTTAACAGATTGGGGTAACGTGTGTTGTAAGATGTATGTAACATGATGTTAACTTTGTGGTCTAAAGTGTTTGGCTATCAAGCCGGATTCCTAAGTAGACCAAATCTTGTTATCGAAGTGTTCCTGAGCTATACCTTGATGTTTAGAAAAGTATTTGTTACATCTTGTAGGATCTACTTTTTGAACTTTTTATCCCCTGTAGTTGCCAATTCTGCATGTACTAGTCCTCTAGAGATAGGTTAAACTGAAGCAACTTGATGGAAGGAACTCTCCACAGGGCTTGTTTTCCAAAGAAAAGTATTGTTTGGAAGAGCAAAGTTATAAGCCTACCTAAGCATATCATAAAGCTGTTCAAAAATAACTCAGACCCAGTCTTGTGGATGAAAATGTAGTGCTTGAGTCACATTCTGCTTAAAGTTGTAACAAATACAGATGAGTTAAAAGAAAAAAAAAAATAATGGAACTGTGATTTTCAGATTGAGAAACTCTATTTCACATGTACTTTCCTTTGCCATTTTGAACATTAAGTAGCATCAATAACAATTCAAAAACTCAATATATTATGACTTTAAATGTGGCCTATTAAATAACGCCACAAAGCCCATGCTAAAATTGCTAACGGGAGGTAAAAATGCATTGACATCACATAGACATCTTAGTCATGTATTTATTCATTCAACAAAAGCTTATCCATTCCCTGTTTTCCAGTCACTGTGGTAAGTGCTTGGGATACAGCACATTACCTCCTTTTCCTTGTGAGATGAAAAAGTTGTCCTTCAGAAAACAAATATATAGTGACCTTTTATAAAAGAGAATGCATCTTTAGTGCTGCAGTGAATTGATAGTGTATGCTTTCTAACTTTTGCACATACAATTATATTGGAATCTGGATTCTTTTAAAGCAATGTCAGAAAAGTTTAGACTGCAAGAAGCCAACATGTTTCACTTGGCTTAAAGATGGAGCTTTACTGTTATTTCTTTTCTTTATGTCTCTATGCATGTGTGTTTTCATGATTCTAGAATCACTGATGTGGAAAGTCAATTATTGTATGTATTCTTTGGGACCATATATACTGCAAAATACCAAATTAAAAACATGTTTTCTTTGAGTGAATGTGGCCTAGTTAATGGTTGTTATGTACACACCAGTTCTATGGCCAGTACATAAGTGAAACCTCTGATTTACAAGGCAACGTAAAAGAACAGCCATCACTCCATTTCTTAGGAACACTACTGAACTAGACAGATTTGTCTCTACTTTCCCAAGTCATAGTGAAGAAAGGGAAAAGGTCTTACACAAAGGCTATAACTGGGGCCTTATCAGTTGTTTCTGCTTTTTAGACATACAATGAAAATTACAATTTTCATATTTAAATATTTATTCATACTTTGTTTTTTCCTAAAACAAGTGATATTTTCCAAGTAAAATTTTGAAATATTTCTTGAAAAACATTGCCCAATGGCAGATAAAATAATTGAATAAAAACTGTATAGATACTTTCATCTTCTGATGGGCTAATGTAAGTAATTAGCCAGAAAGTAGCTCTTTTTCCTTAAAAAATGGGATGATATGTTCCATCATAAGACTGAAGGGTTCCATAAGACTGAAGGGTTCTATAGATCTCAAACTTACTATTTGTTGGCACATATACAAGCATTATATGAACATAGTTAAATTAAAATGATATGCAAAAGTATCTCCTCCCTATGTTTTATTCCTCCATATTAATTTTCCCTTCTGGACAGAACACCTACAATGGTATTATGGGCTTTGGAGTGGAATGCACAGCTTTGAAAACTTTGAAACAATTTTGAGATGCTTATGATGTTTTAATTACTACAAAATTCAGTTAACAAGTAAATTCTAGTAGATAGAAAGGCTTAATAAATACTTTGTATATTTTATGTCATTAGTTGTAAAATTGTCCCCCAATGCCATCAACTATTAATTGCTCTAAATAGCTTTAAAATGCCCTGGATTTACTGATCAAAGCTGAAATCATATTTTCAAATCATATTTGAAAACTGAAAACATATTTGCAGTTTTCACACATATATAGCCGTCTTCCTATCATAACCTGAAATCTAATTACTAAGTGGTTTTAACTCACTCTCTCTCCCCTCCTCTCTCTCTCTACTTAGCTACAGTATTTTTCCAGAATGTGTGTTACAGAGCAACTTGCAGGATGCTAAAACCCTCATGTTCACTTTTCAACTGTGTAGCCATTTTTTTGTCAAGCCTCTTGAATGATCTCTTCCTAGTGAAACTGTTGCAAATTGACCTTAACATATTCAAATGTTAGTTTCAGTGTTTTAAAATACAGAGTACACATTGCTGTCCGCTTCAGAAAGCAATCATTATGGAATGTGTTCAAATCCGTTCAAATCCTTAAAAATGTGCTGCCTACCTCCCCGTGAAGTTTATGTGCATTTCCTTAATAAATACATGTCATCAGGAAACAGCTACTCTCTTGAGGCATATCATCATGTCTTCAAAACTCCAAGGAGAAAATGAAGAGTGCAGGGCAGTAAAACTATTTACTCCATGCATATTAACAGTAGACACCTACAAATCCTTGCAAACATTAGCTTAGTTATGATTCTCCCTGTGGAACTTTGTAAAACATAGTGGATGACAAGGATAATTTAATACCTTGAACAAATGTTGATTTTGGATACACAGAAGTGTGATGCATAGCCATCAACAAAGGCCATTTAATTGTAGCTCTATTTTCAGTCACTTTGGGCTTTGCTAAAGCTTGCATATATTGATGTAAATGAAATGAATATACTAAAAAGTGGAAAAACAAGTCAATGAATATTAGTTCTTTTCACTATTCAAGAGCCCTTAACTCAGAAAACTTACAATTAACTTTCAAAGCTGAAGAAAAAGTTCAAATAATATGAATTACATTGTTAATCCTTTTCCCAGATTTCAGATTTTTATTTCATTGTGTTGGGGAACTTCTGTGGTGAGAATTCTGCTTCTCATTCCTTTGTGTGAATTTGAGCTTGCATTTTAATTTCTCTTGTAACTCTTAACTGTGTCTTTGTTTGCCATTTGCTTTAATCCTTGTTTAACCAATTAAAAAAAAAAAAAGCCCTAGAGAAAACCTCCTTTAATGTATATCCTAGAAGTTGACTAACTTTATAAGATACTTGTCTCAAGAACTGGCTTCAAGGTTGAGGAGGCAGTCTCTCTTTTGCTTATTGACATGATTTGCAATGCTTTGGGTTTAATTAAGTGATAGAATAAATTCCTGACCACAGCAATCAGGAAATGTTTTGATCCAGATTATTGGAATGGAAATTCTACTTTGCTTTCCCAGTAAGTTAGAACCCAGAATCTTTCACCATTAGATCTGACAACAGAAATTTAATCCATATCCCCTGATATAGCCTGTAAGGAGCAACAGGCCAGTGTGTATGTGACCAGAGGTTATAACATTCTGATTCATTATGCTCTAGTCATGAATCTGGCCCATTACAGACAAACTCTGTCAATCCATTTAGCTGTCATTCTGACCATGAATGTAATGCTATTATGGTGAGACCAAGTCCACAGCTCATGCCAAATGTTGTTAGGAATTCACTCCATCTTATGTATGAACACTGGCTCCTTCAAACAACAAGATGTTGAGTGAATTATATATTTGTATGTTGATGTTGAATGGTGAGTTTTCTTGGCATTTAATTATCCAGCTCAAAGAAACATACTTCCCTAATTGTTTCTGAGGTTACTGCCTATGGTAAACTAAAAGGGATCTTGTGAAGGAATGGTATGAAGTTGGCAGCTGTAGATGCTTGTTCACATACTAATATATTATAACATGGCTGCAAAGATAGAAGGAAACATTTCTTAAAAAGAAAATTCACAGGCCGGGTGTGGTGGCTCACGCCTGTAATCCCATCACTTTGGGAGGCAGAAGTGGGTGGATCACGAGGTCAGGAGATCGAGACCATCCTGGCTAACATGGTGAAACCCTGTTTCTACTAAAAATACAAAAAACTAGCTGGGCGTGGTGGCATATGCCTGTAGTCCCAGCTACTTGGGAGACTGAGGCAGGAGAATCACTTGAACCTAGCAGGTGGAGGTTGTAGTGAGCCGAGATCGTACCACTGCACTCCAGCCTAGGCCACAGAGCAAGACTCTGTCTCAAAAAAAAAAAAAAAAAAATTACAGTTCTTTCTTCAATAGACACATAACCGAATTATTATAAAGA